CCTCCAAATGTGTTCCCGTCTTCCCCCGCTGATCCCCCTCTCTGAGCCCCAGGAGCTCTTCATTGGCTTTCCGGGGTCCAGACTTGCTCCCGTGTGGTCCACCCTCATGGGGTCACTGCAGATATCCTTCGAGGGGCGCGTCCCATCAGGTAACGCCTCCTTGACCCCTTCCAGTGACTTCCTGTCATGATGGGGAAAGTAAGTTCCCTTAGGAAAAAGTGCGCAGGCCTTCTCCCTGGGTGATTTCCCTCCATTTTTCCTGTTTGTCGATCTGCACAAATGGAGACCCCTCCCCCCCGTTCTTCCTGTGGGGGACTGTCATCTATCTCCCAGGTGTTTGTAAGGCTGCCACCTGCCTGTCTCTGGGCCATCAGCTCAAATGTTGTCTCCTTGGCGAGACTGTGTCCCCGTGTTGTCCTTGTCCACGTCACCCCGCTCTGTAAACACTCGGCGTGGCCCTGTCTGCCGGTTGGCCTACGTGTTGATTCTCCCTCTGCCCTGGAACACGAGCTTTTGGAAGCCAGAGGCAGTCATGATCGCTGCTGTGGATCTGGGTCTGTAGCAGGCCTGTTCATAGGACTTGTGCCCACGTTTCCGTGGCCTGTGTTTGGGTCAGGGTTGGTTTGGCAGCGTGTAGCAGAAAACCTGGCTGGTGTGGTTTTCCATTCCTGGGCTCCTTGTACCAAGAAGTGGACAGTCTGGGGCCGGAACAGTGGTTTCTGGACCTTTCTGTCTCCAGTCTGCTGCCTCGTTCTCATGCTTAGCTCCTCGGGTCTTGTGGTGAATTCTGACTCTAGCCTGATGTTCCGTAGAAAGGCAGGGAAGCAGGAAGGGGCGGTGTCTCCAACAGGAAGGCATTTCTGGAAACCCCCAGCGTGTGTCTCATTGGCTGGAAGAGTGCTAGAGCCGCCTTTGGCCACTAGGATCTGGGGCAGAGTTTGTGCAGCAGAGTCAGGCTCTGTGGGGGAGGGGTCCTGGTACCTGACTGCCGACACTTCCCGCTTCTTATGTCTCAAGTCCACACCATAGACAGGTGCGTGGAGATAGCTGCAGGCTCTGTTTCATATAAAAATAACTGCAGAGTGGGGCTGTCTGGGGCTGGGCGAGCTCGCCAGTCTTGTACCTCAAACCAGACAGACTTAACCTACCTGGTGACACGGACGGCTGGCGGCAGGTGTGGGGTGTGCTCGGCAGGGACAAGCCCCTTCTGCGCAGTGACCTGAGGGCACGGTCGCTGTGGGTGGGCCCAGGCAGCAACCTGCGCCAGGAACCAGGCCTCCCTCTGTAGGGAGGAGGGAGCGAGCTGGGTTCTCACCGCAGGGCACGAGAGGCGGGGGGCCCCTGCCACCCCCGAAGTGACTTTTGCCGTGTCTGTGGAAGATGCCTGGACAAGAGCCCTCTCAGGCTGGGCGGCTTGGGAAGGCAGGCGCCGCCCGCTGTCTGCCGGGGCCCAGCCTCACACAGCTGCCCCGGGGCCGGGAAGCGGCAGACCCTCCTCCAGAGGAGCCGCTCTTGTATCTGCCCACGTTTCGCAGCCTCTTGCGTGGTTTCTGAGGTCGCCTACGCGAGGGAGAAGCCCTGCCCCGCTCGAGGGCAAACCCAGAGCGGCTGGGGAGAGCCGGGGGAGCTCGCCCGGGACTTGGGACGAACCTTCCCCACGGCTCAAACGTCCCCAGGGCGCTTCCTGTTCAAGTCCAGCTCCTTTCCCCCGGGTTTCCTGCAGGGAACCAGCTGTGAGGATGGACTTTCCCCGCCTTCTCGGCAGTGCCTGTAGGTCAGGAAGAACAGAGGGCGGGCCCGCGGTTCCTTGCGAGCCTTCTCCACCCACGCGAGGCGCTCACCAAAGGGCTCGGTGTCGGTGTCACGGAGCTGTAGGAGGCAGATGTGGCCAGAGGGGGCCGCGGGCGCCGCAGGTGGTTGAGCCGCCTTCTGAGCAAGCCGTGGTGGGGTATGGGCTATGAAATCAGAACTGCCGTTTGGAAGGTTCTCCGCGGCGCTGGCTGGAGAGCGGGTGCGGGTGTGGGCGTAGGTGTGAGTGTGGGTGCAGGTGTAGGTGCGGGTGCGGGGGTGGGGGTGGGGGTGAGTGTGAGTGTGAGTGCAGGTGCGGGTGAGAGTGTGGGTGCGGGTGGGGAGGCCGCTGTCCGGGCGGCCGATGAAGGAACAGGGCGGGTAGACGGCAGTCCCATTGCGTGGGGTTTGGCCTGCGTAGCCGCGTGGAAGGCGGAGCCTTTGGCCGGACAGAGCCTATAGGGAACAAGCTTTCGGGGTGGGGGCGTGGACGTGCCCACTTTGACAGGCGGTAGCTGGGGGGGCGGGCACGTCTGCTTTTCCGTCTCCAGTTCCCCTTGGGCTCCGGGGCCCAGGCCTGCCAGGGGGCACATCGCACTCCCCCTCCAGTCTGGTGTCTCACAGGTGTTCCTGAACATCTGGAACCAGCTACTGTATTTTCCTTAATTTCCTACCCCTTCTTCTCACAGTGACCGTCACCGCCTTCGGCCCCCCCGCCCCCCCCAGTTGCTGGAAACCTGGCAGCTTTTCCTCGGTGTCACATCTAGTTCCCTGCACCTTTTGTGCCTGCTGTCCTATCCATTCTCTACCCAGGATGCCTGCTTCTCCGTGTCTCCCCTCGGCCCAGGGGCCCCAGGCCACCACCATGGTGGTGCCCTCAACAGAAGCCTCCTGACCCTCCTGGGCCCCAAGTCTTGCCTTGTGCTCCCGGTGCCCTTCATGCAGCAGCCAGAGCCCACTACCTTGCCCTGCACTTACAGGCCCTTAGGCCTGACCTTGGGCGCAGTAAAACTGTACTTACTCCTTACCCACAGACACCGGGCTTGACTGCCTCCCACCTGTTTCCAGCCTCCTCCCTCTGACTGCTCTCCCCGCGTGCTCCAGGCCCCCAGCCTCCTCCCTCCAACCGCTCTGTCTGCTTGAGTTCAGGCCCCCGGCCTCCTCCCTCCGACCGCTCTGTCTGCTTGGGTCTAGGCCCCCGGCCTCCTTCCTCTGACTGCTCTGTCTGCTTGAGTCTAGCTCCTTGCGTCTTCAGGTTCTTGTATATGCCTCGCCTGTTGCCACCTCGTGGCTTTCCCTGTGCTGCTCTTCCTCCATCAGATGGTGGCCCCCACCAATGAGACGATCCAGACCTGCTTATCTGTAGGGGTATCCTCTTGTCTTCAGTTGAGAGGCAGCTGAAGGAAGTGGGCATCTGCCTGGACTCTGGAACCAGACTGTTGGTCTGAGCCATGCCAACCCCACCTCTCACTGTGTGACCCTGACATGTTGTTTGACCTTCTGGGCCTTGGTTTCCCGATCTGTAAAATGGGGATACTAATACCTCCCTCATTACTGTGAGGACTGAATGATCGTGTGAACCATGTGAGACAGTGTCTGGATAGTAAGAGCTAGACAGGGCACCTGGCAGAGCCCCTCAAGATGGGTGAGTGTCCAGGAAGTCAGGAGCTGGTCACCTTATCCCTGAGCCTTGCTGCCTTTGCCTTGGAGTTGGAGACACGGCCAGGTTACTCTTAGTGTTTTAGGCCAGACCGGGCATCTTCCTGTAGAGCAGAAATGATTGGTCTCCAGTATAGGGACATACTTTTCCCCAAAAAACACATACCCAAGTTGTTTTACCAGTGGGCAGGTAGAGCTGGAAATGGCTTCTCCAAACTGTAGAGATAAAATTGGATAGATGCTTGGGATTGGAATTAAACCTTGGATCATCTGATAGGAATTTCCATGGCTTCTGTTAAGGGTTGTTAATTCAACATAACTGTGAGAGAGAAGTGGTAGGGATTGGTGACCAAGAAAGTGTCATTTCCTGTGGGAGAGCAGCCTTTTCATTATTCCTTTTATGTCAAATAAGGCTATAATTGGTCATCCTTTAATGCAGAGAGTAAAACCTGTTAAATTTGGATTTTTCTTTAGATTGGCCTTTAAGCCTTTAAAAAATAATTTGCCACTTATGTTCAATGCAAGTCACTACTGTATCACTGTGTATAAATCAAAGCATAATTACTAAACACAGTGTGCATTCTAGAACATAGTGTTTGTTCACACATGCTGTTCTTGTTTTGAAGATTGTTGAATTTGGTGTTTCTGGAATGCTCTCTAAGGCTGGCATGTCTTTGGTTATGAAGGCCCCAGAGCCGAAATAATGGAGTGTCCATGTGTGACGATGGACGAGAGACTTCAGAGAGGGTGTCTGTGTGTTGATGGTTGTATTAGATTAACTTCCAGAAACTACTTTAGGCTTTGTCCCAGGTACTGCCTAAAAATATTGGTAGAGAGGTGTGTTCAGTTGTGGGTTTATAAAGATAGAAACGTATACAAATAGCATAAAACTTGTGTGAATGTAACTCAGGCGAACTTCTAATCTTCCCTTTTCCAAACACGTGCTTTACCAAACCTCATGTTCAAGATTTAACAGAGATGTTTTAAGGGGAACCTGGGCGTCTCAGTTGGTTAAGCGTCCGACTCCGGCTCAGGTCATGCTCTTGTGGTTTATGGGCTTGAGCCCCATGGCAGGCTCTGTGCTGACAGCTCGGAGCCTGGAGCCCGCTTCGGATTCTGTGTCTCCCTCTCTCTCTGCCCTTCCCCCACTCATGCTCTCTCGCTCTCAAAAATAAACATTAAAAAAATTTAAAGGAGATGTTTTTAAAAAAGTCACCTTTAAATTGTAAAAATGATTTAACATGTACAAAAATAAAGCAGCATTTGATGACTATGTGAGGTTCTATACCTCTGCTCTCTGGCAGCAGATGTACAGTTAAAATGATACTCCAGGGTTCTTGTTGGGCTGGGATGGGAAGGGCAGCAGAGTGCGCACGCTGTGGGTTTGGGGATGCCTGCTGTCATTGTGCTGGCTTTGTCACCTGCTGTCCCCAAGTCAGATGCAGCCACCAGCTCCCGTGAGCACTGCCAGCTTCTCCAGAGCTGCAGTGGGCGGGAGGCCCAGCCTCTGCCTGTCACCCACCGTACAGAGAAACACTTTGCAAACTACCTGATCATTTTTTTGACTTTATAAACTTAATGAGCCAAAATAAAGGTAAAGTATCTTCTAATTCCCAAGGTAGAGGTGTAGGTACCCAAAGTTCCTAAGTCCCGTCTTGAATTCATCAGGATGTCGCCAACTTCTTTCAGTCTGTACATGGAATTGCAGGCTGCAAATTACAGGCTGCAAACCAGTGGCGGTGGGATTCTCCCTTTTCTGGATCCATTTCTATTAGTGAAGTCAAGGAGCGGAGGCAGGGGAGCCCTGGCGCTCTGTGTCCACGCCGGGGGTCCTGGCCGCGCTGGACGGGCGCCCTACCCGAGGACCAGCTGCAGGGCGAGCGGGATGAGCATGGCCAGCAGGTCCAGAGGGCCAGGCGCGGGGTGCGGGGTGCGGGCTGCGGCCTTGAGCTCAATGCCCGGCAGGGGCCGGCCCGCCGACGAGTTGCCGTCTGGGATCGCGGTCGGGGTGGGTGCGGTGCCCATCGGCTCCATGCAGGTCTGCGCGGGCAGGAGCAGGGCCACCAGCAGCAGCAGCAGCGCCGGCGTGGGCCGGGTCGCCATGGCTGTGCGCTCGGGGCGCGTCTCCTTGCCGGTGCTGGTCGCAGTGGCCGCCGCTCGGCAAGTCTATTCTGTAGGGTCCTCTCAGGGTCCTCTTTGGTGGGGTCCGGTCTGGCCAGCCGCACCCGGCCAACTCCCGCTGGCGGCTGTTAACCGTCGGTCCCGGGATCCCGCCCTGCCCGCGCGCACCCGCGCCCGCGCGCCCTGGAGCCGGCGGAGCGTGCACGTCTGCGCTGTGCCCTGCACGCCCGGCTTCCTCCCACGCAGCCCCTGGCCGGGGCCGCGGAGCTGCTAAGCTGGGACTCCGAGGACGCGGATGCCCCTGGCGTGTTACAGCATTCTGCGAATCCCTGGGGTCAGTGCTTTCTGGGGACATCGGAAACCTTTCCTCCTGCGGTGTGCACACGGAGGTTTTGTTTTAAAAACCTTGAGATTTTGGTATCTTTTTCTTAAATATGCCTGTGATGTAGCTGTGACTTTTGTTGTTGTTGTTGTTGTTAATGCTTCTCCCAGGTTTTACTCATGTACGACATTTACTTCCTGGACTGCAGTTTGGAAGGAAAGCATTTCTTAAGTAAACCGGGGACTCTCGCTTTTGGCCGTTAGGATGAACTCTACCATCTTTGAAACTGTACATTTTTTTCTCCCCAAGCAGAACTCTTATGAACATTTCCAAAAACTATGTACTTCATATACAGACATTTGAATTTTTAATTTAAATTAAATAAAATTTATTTGTTTTTCAAATAAGTAAGCTCTGCACCCAAGGTTGGGCTCGAACTCATGACCTTGAGGTCAAGAGTCGCATCCTCCACCAGCTGAGTCAGCCAGGCAGGTGCCCCCAGACACGTGAATTTTTCGAATGTCCATTATGAACCGAGGTCTTTGCGGATCGTTAGGTGGGAAAGAGCAACAGAAGCAGCCCAGGGAGAGTCGTCACATGTGCTGGGGTCACACAAAGCTGGGGCTTGGCCAGATGTGGTTTATTTATTAATTCTACGCACGCGGCGTGCTTTTTTGCTTATTTCTGTTCCACATCAGAATCGTCGGTGTATCTTCCTTACTTGGATTTGGCCTCTCCTTGTAATCAACACAGGGGTCTAAAATAGTTCTATGTGTTTTAAATTCTAAAAGTATGCATATCTTTGGAAATAATTGTGCAAACAGTTGAAAATGAAAGGTTTAGGCTTCCTCCCCCATCCCAGTCACTGCAGGTAGCCCCTCCCATTACACCACCCAGTCAGTATCCAGTGGGAGAAGTCCATTCACTTGGAACAAGCTTGGGGTGCTGGTGTCAGAAGTAGAAGTTGGATTCAGTGTAGGTACAACTGGCTTCTTCTGTTAAGCATATTTTTCAGATGTGTAACTGCATGTTCCATAAAAGAGCACACAGGGGCGCCTGGCTTCCTCAGTCAGTTGAGTATCTGACTTCGGCTTGGGTCACGATCTCATGGTTCGTGGGCTCGTGAGTTCGAGCCCCGCATCAGGCTCTCTGCTGGCAGTGCAGAGCCTGCTTCGGATTCTCCGTCTCCCTCTCTCTCTGCCCCTCCCCTGCTCATTCTCTCCTTTTCTTTCTCTCTCTCTAAAATAAAATAAACATTTTAAAAAAAAAGAGCACATAAAAAATAAAGAGCAAGGGCCCCTTTCTAGGGCCGGGCAGGAAATGCCCCAGGTGAGCCTGGAGCATGTGTAGACCCAGACAGGAAGGAAGTGCCCGAACAACACAACGCCACCTCGATGGGCGTGTCAGGGGGACACAGGAGCTGCCTGAAGGGGCTCCCGGCCGCCAGAGCTGGATCGGTCCCAGCAAGAGGGAGGGCGTGTTGGATTATAGCCCACCGTGTAAAATACACATGCACGCGTCCAGACTGACATCAGCAAACGATCCAGGCACGCTCTGATACTCAGACTGAATTTCTTCTCCGAAGGAGGATCCCACATCGTCTACGCGGCTGCTCCGTCCCCGGGGGGGCCGAGCCCACCTCCCCACTCCTCGGGCGCGGGCTCTGCACAGCGACTCCCTTCCACAGGGGGCAGTGGGGGGAGGGAAGGAGTCACGTGGATGGGGACAGCCGGCAGACACACCTACGCCAGGTGACCACAGCCAACATCAGCGGTGACAGGCCGTGCTGATGGCACCCGCCCGGGCCGGGTGGGAAGAGACGGGCGCTTCCCCCCAACAAGCCGCAACCCCAGTCCAGTCACGAGAAGCCATCATGCCGCTCCCACTGGGGGACATCCCCCCAGATCCCTGACTCGTCCTCCTCGACACTGTCAGGCTCATCAGAGAAACTGTCACAGCCCAGAGGAGAAGCAGAGGGATGGGATCAAGGTCACGTGGTGTCCTGGACGGGGGGCCCCAGGACAAAAGAAGGACATCGGGGGAAACTGAGGAAACCTGACTCTAAGGCTCATTAGCTTAGTTAACAATAAAGTGTTAATATTGGCTCATTAATTATAACCAATGTACTGTGTTAACGTAAGAAGTTTATAAAGGGGGAGCTGGCTGTATGTCATCTCAGTTTCTCTTTAAGTCTAAGATGGTTTTAAAAAAGAAAGTCTCTTTTAAAAGAAAGTGTTTTTAAAGAAGCTAATAATTCCTTAGAAGCTCCTTTTGTGTGCTCATCCTCTGCCTTAAGTATCGTTGACTTTTGTGTTAACTGTCCCCTTGGTTCTCCTTGTAGATTGAACACTTTTTTTTTTCTAATTTTTTTTTCAACGTTTTTTTATTTATTTTTGGGACAGAGAGAGACAGAGCATGAACAGGGGAGGGGCAGAGAGAGAGGGAGACACAGAATCGGAAACAGGCTCCAGGCTCGGAGCCATCAGCCCAGAGCCTGATGCGGGGCTCAAACTCCCGGACCGCGAGATCGTGACCTGGCTGAAGTCGGACACTTAACCGACTGCGCCACCCAGGCGCCCCTAGATTGAACACTTTTGTTGGGTATTCTAAGCAGCATATCCTTTGGTTTTGCCAGACAGACTCCACTCAGCAGTGAGGGCCCCTGGGCAAGGCTGGGGTCTTAGTGACTGCAAGTCCAGGGGCTTCCCTTGCAGGGCCCTCCTGGCCAGTGTCCTCACGCATCTGTTAGTGTTTTAACTTGAGTCACTAGGCCTGCTGCCACCCGTGTGGGGGGCCCCCCCCCTCTCCTCTCTCACACATGCCCTGTCCCGGGAGGCCTTGGAAGGCCTCGGGCACCATCGTGATCTGGCTGAGAGGAAGTTGTGTTGGGTTGCATTTCGTGTTGGTTTAATGGGATGCGCATCTGTGGGTGTGGTTACTTCCAGGTTAGGTGCTGCCCAGGTGTTGGAAGTTTGCATTCTGTGGTTGTCCCGTGCAGCGTGGGGTGTGAAGGAGCAGGGCCAGAGGAGAGGGGCCCTTGCCCTCTGCACCTGTTTACCTTGGGACCCCAGGGAGGTAGTCAGAGTCCAGAAGAAGAGGGAGGACCAGGGCAGGGGCCAGCCTGACTGCTTCTGGGAGACGTGGGTAGTAGGGGTTGCACCAGGAACAGAGGTGTTTCTCAAGGAGGGGTTCTCCGAGAGCTTCGAGATGGGACTCCCGTCCAACTGGCTCGCAGTCAACTGCGGCAAAGTTGAGATGGTCTGTTCTGGCCGAGTTGGACAGACATGGCATTGCAGGGGACACCGTGAGGGGCTCAAAGCAGAGAAGTGTGGGTGGGGGTGAGCGGGGGCAGGGCTGTCCCCATGAGCGCCCCGGAACCTGCCCTGGGTCCTTGCTCGGCACGCTCGCTGCCCTGTATTCGCTCCTGCGCGTCTTCTTGAGGGGACTGCTGGCTGCCGGGAGTTGTGGTTTTTATGACATTAACACAAAGTTGGCATTTTTTTCCTCGGGGAGAAATAACCCTGGATGCAGTACACACGAGTCAGACCCCAGGGTTAGCGCGGAGACAAAGCGAGGGGACGTGGGTGTCGGGTTCATGTCCTTGGTGGTTTTCTGTTCTGTTTCAGGTGCATCTTTGGTCCTTCGAACTTTTGATATCTGACTGTGTCACTTGTGAGGTTTTAGAGGTTTGGTCTCATTTTGGCCTTTCCAGTGTGATGACAAGAGACAGACGGCCTGGTTTCTGTATTTTCTCCGGGTGCCCCCTACACTGTCAGTGGTTCTCAGGTCATAAATAACTGAATGCGCTTTAAATGAGACCGCCTGTAAGAGTTAGGCGTAAGGACATCTCGAATCATTTGAACATTGTGCACATAAAAAAGCAGCCTAACATCGCGCGTTCCTACCCTTGCTCCTCAACTTCCCTCGGATGAGTACACGTTGGTGGGTCGTACGTGTATTTCGAGAACTGGGCTCCTTCATGACAACGTATGGGGCTGTGGGAAGGTGCAGGAAGGGCCTGGTAGTGTGGCCTGCTGGAAACCCACCACGTGCAGGCCTTCTGACCTTGCGCGGTGAGTTTTCCTTCCACAGCGCGCCCATGTCTAGGAATTTTGGCTGAGACCGGCCTCTGCTTTTTCGGTGTGGCTTGCACTGCTGTCTCTGTTCTGTGAAACGACTGTGCAGGGGGGTCACCGGTCTGGCTTGGAAACTCTTCCGTGAGGAAAAAGCCACCTTAATGTCGTTTCACGTTTTAGAATTCCTTGCTTCTTGAGTTGTTGATGAAGTTGTTCTAAGATTCTCAAGTGTTACCGGTAGGATTTCAAGCTTTCAACGCTGTTGCCTTTCGTCTTTTTCTTTTCCTGTAACAACAGGCTTACTAAATTCCTTTTTTTTTAAGTTCCCTTTTTTCACTTGGTCACGATGCCTGCTGATTTTAAAGCCCTTTTATGATACTTAACCAAGCTCTCTGTGTTCAGTGTGGGTTGTGGTCAGGTTCATTGTTGCAGCCTAGACTAATGTGTTGAGTTAAATATAGGCTGTCAATTAACTAACCATTCTGAACGCGTTCATTATCGTTTCTCTGAGGCCGTCCTAACCATGTGCACTAGAGACAGGTTTGTGGATGTGCACACCATGGTATCTGGGTTGAGCTTCCCAGCCGCGCGTCTCCACGTAAAGTCAGGGAGAGCCCCGGGGAAGCCGAGGGCATTGGGTGTGTTTGCCGTCTGTCTCTCTTTTCTCTCATCCTTCTAAAAATGAGTGACTTGGGAATTAGTCAAAACAACAAATTAGCCAAAAGTGAATTTTCCCAGCAATGTAAAAAGAGTTTAGCCTGCTCTACTCTTACAAGCCCGGTTTGGTGCTGAGGTGGATTAGGGTCCTTCTGGTGGAAGGTCCTCCGAGCCAGGGGTGTGCGCGATGACAGGCCCCTCGTAAGTGGGAGGCGCGTGGCTGGAGGCGGAACGGGTGTGACACATGACTGTTGGGATACTGAAGTCATGAAATGGGGTTCAGGCGTCCATTTTGTATTTATTCCAAATTCCAATAAAAAAGAAACGTTTAGCCATCTAAGTATCTCTTTTTCAGGACTCACAAACGTCAGTTGTTCAGTTTGTTTTAGATGGAAGTCCTGTTTTTGTCTGTGAAAGAAGTCTTATCCACGGTTTCAACGTGGGCCGGAAGAGCGAAGACGTTGAGGACCTAGCCCAGTGTGGTACGTCTTGGTGCTAATTTGTCCTCCCCTCACGCTGTGCTCCCCACAGCAGGATGAGATACTGGACGCCGAGGCCCCAGGGCAGGGCAGGGCAGAAGATGTGCAGTTTCATTAAAAATTGTAAATGGGACCCTAGGGGCGCCTGGGGGGCTCAGTTGGTTAAGTGTCCCAACTCTTGACTTCAGCTCAGGTCATGATCTCGAGGTTTGTGAATTCAAACCCCATGTAGTTGGTCTTTGTGCTGACAGCTTGAAGCCTGCTTGGGACTCTCTCTCTCTCCCTTCCCTCTGCCCCTCCCCCCCCTCAAAAATAAATAAACTTAAAAAAATTACAAGGGGGATCCTAATGTTCTTACCAGCCAGGTTGAGGAGAGGACATGAGGAAACAAAGGCATAAAATGTGGAATAGCCTAGGTGAAATGGTCTGTTTGCAGGATACTCAGGAAACCCTAGAGAGAGTCCTGTCCGATGGAACCTTCCGCAGCAGTGTGCTGTCCCGTACAGTGGCCACCACGTGGGACCGCACAGCCTCAGAATCAGCGGTTAAAAAAGCTCAAATGATAAAAACTAGTTAAGGCAGCAGAAATAAAAATGTAACATACAAACATCAACATAACTTTCGTACTCACAAACATAACCAGTTAGAAGGTATTTGGGGGAGGCAGCCCCATTCACAACAGCAACAAAAGAGAAGCAGTACTCACGAATGAATGTAGTAAGTAAGAGCTGTTGAAAAGTGAAGACCGTTCGGAAACGTCTTGAGAAAGACACAAAAGGAGCCCTGAGCAGAGGGAGGGCCCCATTCTTGGTTAGGTTGTCACGGCATCATTGCAATGGCACTTCTCCACCAGCTTAATGCACACATTTAATGGGGTCCCCATAAAAATATGAATGCAACAGGAGTCATTATTTTCCTGGATCCTAAAATTGACATGGAAAAACAAGCATGCACGGATACCCAGAAACGCAAAAGAGAAAGGCTGGGGAGGGGGGAACATAGCCCTTCCAGACTTTAAAACACACCGTAAAGCCCCTCGACGTAAAGGAGCATGACGATGGCGCGGCCAGTGTGGTAGGCGGCTCTGGAACAAGCCCGAGTACCTGTGGGAACGTAACGTACGATTCAAGTGGTATCTCCGATTGCCGGGTCACAGGGGACTTTTTCAAAGGGACTTTGGGACAGCTGAACACCGTTTTGTGAGACACAGCGTCGGGTGTCTGCCTCACGCCACGTGCGGGAATAAGCGCCAGGCGGGTCAGGGAGCTAACTGTGCAAGATGAAACTATCCAAGTGTTTGACAAGAACACAGCTGCATGTGACCTGTGTGTTGGGCGAGGCTTTTAAAAGTATAGCTGAACATTCAGGTTCACCCAAAGAAAAGATGGTCGAAACAGACTGAAAATATACGACGACAGTGAAAAACTGCCCTACCCGCACAAACCAGCAACAGAAGAATCTACGTAAAGTCAAAAGACGAAAGAATCGGTTGTGAGAAAATTCTTGGTGCTGTGCCACACATATTCAAAAATCTTGGGGGAGCAAAGACCAAAATCCTGTAGGAAAATAGGCAAAGGCACAAAGAGATGTGCACGTGTGCACTTGCGCACACTTATGCGTGCACACACGTGAAAATGGCCCTTCAGCGTCCCTGAGATACGGGTCTTCGCTCATCACATTGGCGAACAAGCCACCTCTTGAAAGGCGTCACCAGTGCGTGTGCCTAATCGGAAATGACGTGTGAAACAAAGCAGGCGGGTGTCTTCGGCTCCTTGGAGAGTGTTGACGTTTCTGGCTGTCAATTTCTGAGCCTACTCGCATGCGGTATTCTTTCAAGTGGACTTGACGAGAAAACCACAGTTCTGCCCCTAGACACCTTAGGGTGTGGCGCTAACCGCGTGGAGGCAGGGGGTTTTGGGGAACCTGCCAGATGTCCTTTTAGCTCCCTCACTGGCCCTGTGGTTCCTCTGGGCTGTTTCTTCTCTCCTCCAAACCCCACCACGCCTCATCCCTACACCGAGGGATTGTTAACTCTGGGGATGTCTGCCCTGCTGCCTGTTTTCTCAGGGTGTCCCTGTGTGCATTTTGAATGTCCCAGCCCATTTGACGGGCAGGTGTCTGAGGGAGGCGAGAGCTCGGTGAGAAGGCAGTGCTCTGTCTGCAGGCCGTGCGGTTGTGGCCCCACTGCACCATCACAGGCTGGGTCACCCACCTTAGTGGGACCTGCGCTTCGGTGGCAAGACCAGCCGTGTGCAGGCAGTGCCGAGAATGTGGGCCTCGTGAAGCCGGGGTCTGTCTTGGGGATCTGGACCGAGGAAGTCAGAGGGAGAAGAGGAGAGACACACAGGAGGACTTGGAGAGCAGGGCAGAACCCCTGCTCTGGGCTGTGCCGGAAACCAGTTCCCGAGCCACAGGCCTGGCCCTCCCACCTCCAGCTGACAACAGACACCCCCCCTGCCGACAGTAGAGTGCGTCCTCTGCTCCCAGGTTTTTGTTAAAGGCTGAATTGTTTTAATTTAAAACCTAATTGTGTGGCTCCCAGTGTGGATCTAAGAGCACATGGTCCTTTCCTCTGCTCGAGTGCGGTCTGCACAGAGAAGGTAGCCTCGCAGGGGCGAGGACGCGGCGCGAGCACGAGTCCTGCCTCCGGTCCTCTTGAGTCCAGTGGGGCACGAGGGGTGGGTCCCAGGCCAAGGCCCCTACAGGCTGGGAGGCGCTCACCTGCTCGCCGGCGGGTGGACGGGAGGGTCAGCGTCGGCCCCGCCAGCCGCTGGGGGCTCCCGAGGCACCGCTTCCCACTTGGGTTGGCGTGAGCCACGGGACAGTGAGACACAACAGCAGCCACACTCGGCGGTCAGGGAGGGGGGACGGTGCCTGCCACACAGCGAGTCCTGATATTTTACTGGCCCCTTTTTAATTAATTTATTTTTTTTATTTTTATTTTTTTTTAATTTTTTTTTCAACGTTTTTATTTATTTTTGGGACAGAGAGAGACAGAGCATGAACGGGGGAGGCGCAGAGAGAGAGGGAGACAGAATCGGAAACAGGCTCCAGGCTCCAAGCCATCAGCCCAGAGCCTGACGCAGGGCTCGAACTCACGGACCGTGAGATCGTGACCTGGCTGAAGCCGGACGCTTAACCGACTGCGCCACCCAGGCGCCCCTAATTAATTTATTTTTTATTCTTTAATGTTTGCTTATTTGTGAGAGAGACAGACAGAGTGTGAGTGGGGGAGGGGCAGCGAGCGAGGGAGACACAGAATCGGAAGCAGGCTCCAGGCTCCAGGCTGTCAGCACAGAGCCCGACGCGGGGCTCGAACCCACGAACCGCGAGATCATGAGCCCCCCAGGCGCCCCCACTGGCCCCTCTTTGATAGCCTGCTTGGGGTTTGCTCACTCTGACCTTTCCTCATTGGTGACCTTTGACCATCTGGAGGATGTGTTTGTGCGTTTTCTTCACGTGGTGCGTGTGAAGGACGTTAGCTGTATTAGGGGCCTACGGGGCACTGGCCGCTCTCCCCTCCACCGTGGCTCTTACTGCTGAGGCCTCGCTGCCCCGGTTCTGTACTCCTCCTGTCGCCACAGCTGCCCTGCCAGGAGCCGTGCCCTGGCTGGACGGCCTCAGCCTGGTCACCTGGGCCTGTGCGGCCGGGCTGCGCGGTAAGAGGAGCCCTGTCCTTTAAAGGTGTGCTGGCACAAGCCGGTCAGAGCTGGCAGAAGTGCCGTGCTCTCGTTGACTGGCATCTGCCTGCTCTTGGCCTGAGGACCTCAGACTTCATTTAATTTGGGGGACCGAGTGGACATCAAGGCCTCATTCTGAGTGGCCGCTGCGCAGGGGGTCCTGGGGACCCTGACTCGTGCCCTGATACCCTACCCACCTCCCTGCGCTGCTTTAACAATTAAATTGACATTGAAGGTGGTGCCACCAGCCACACGTGGCTTTTTACATTTAAATTAAGCAGAAATGCGAGTTCACTAGCTCAGCTGCACTGGTCAAAGCAGGGACAGCACAGGGACAGCAGGAAGCCGTGCGCCGCGGGGCTGGCGGGAGACCGAGGGCAGGTCCGGGGCAGGGTGTGTGCAGCCGCCTTCTCTGCACCTTGCACCCTTTCCGGGCGTGGCCTTGCCTCTCTGACGCCTTCTCTTATTCGATTGTACGCTTCATCACGGGACATTCAGACGCCAGAGACGAGAAAAAGAAATGGAGGAAGTCGTCTCACCCCTCTGACACCCCGTGTCACCGTCTTGGGCGGTGCCTTCACATGTGTACACGCGTGCACGCGGGCGTCAACGGGTGCGGATGTCACTTTATATCTGTTCGCTCATTTGTTCTCTGCAGCCTCAGGACGTGAGCACTGCTGACGTTCGGCGCTCGTGATGGATGACGAACCAAGGTGACTCGCTGAGCTGCTGCCCGACACGCACAGCCCTCGCGGCCGTGCTGGGGCCTGCTTGGCCCCTCGGGCTCTGGGGTTTGTGTGTCAGCCGCCGGTCTGGCCGCTGCCTCCGAGGGAGCGGGCGTGCGTGCACACGCACGTGTGTGTGTGTACATCTGGGTGTGTGTGCATGTGCACAACCATGTGCGTGCTTGGGCCCGTGTGTGTGTGTGTGTGTGTGTGTGTGTGTGTGTGTGTGCGCATGTATACACCGCGTGGGTGCTTGGGCCCAGATGTGTGTGTGTGGGCGTGTGTGCGCGTGTGTGCCTGTGGAGACTGCCACATCCTGACTTGAGAGCAGGTTCCCGTTTTGCGAGCCGGTTGGATGGCCGTGAGCCGGTCACCCCTGCGCCCCCTCTGGCCTCGCCGCTCCGCTCGCCGACCCCGGGCGCCCTCCTGGCACTGACCGTTGGTGAAGGGTGGGTGGGTGGCTGCGGTGTCCTCAACCTAGTGGCGCACCTTTGGGGGTTTCCAGGTTTGCGGACGTCATGCCTCGGGGTGCTTTGCTCCGCGCGCCACAGGAAAGCCAACTCGAGCTAGTTGTAAGTAACAACGCCGTATTTCCCCCGACGCCCTCCTTCGGAGCTCCAAGTAGACGTTCGCAGGAACGAGACTGTCTGTCGGTCTGCGGTTCTTGCCGGTGCCGTGAGCAGTTCTCTCTCTTTATGCTCCTGTCCTTCCAGGTGTTTGGTGGAAACGGAACACAGCAGAGGAGGGTTGCCAACTGGCCCCGTTTCAGCTGGAAGTCAGATGTGAACGTGTATTTTTACCCCACAGCCCTTTCTCCAGAAAGCTCACACTCCTTTATTTTTAACTTTAGCTTTCTGCTCTGTTGGCTAGTACAGGGAGGAGAGGAGCTCAAATTAGTTAGCTTGCTTTGTATTTATTTTTACTTGACCTTTTCGCTTCTGAGTTTTGAGAAGAAAATGTGAGATTCTTTTCCCCGCATCATTTTCTTCCCCGAGGAGAAGCCACGGTCAGTAATTGACTCTGAAGGTGGCGAAGGTTACCCCAGGACAGCATGTCTAGCGTTTTCCGTTCATGAAACAAACTTTCAAATGTTAATCTGTTTGTTCTATGAAATACTTATCAGTGCCTTTTCCAACTTCTTTGGCAAGCAGTACATGTGTATCCCAAGGAACTTTTGCGTTTCCAGGCAGTCTGGCAGGTTCTCAGCACGGGGGTGGGGCGGGGGGACGTGGGGTGGGCGTGCGAGGCGCGTTTTGTCAGGGAGCCAGGTGAGGCAAGAGTGGGGAGAAGTTGTTCATTATTTGGTTTGTACGCTTTTCTTCGAGAACCGAACTAAGGCCTCGTCCCTGACAGGAATCTGTTTTAATTCCTGGGAGGTTAAACTGCTCGCCTATGGCAGCCTGAGGAATAACCCTAATGTCTTACCCGTGTATCCATCCCTCTGGAAATTCTACGGGTTGGGTTGGGTCGCTGCTACCACGGATTGTCCCTTTCCTGTTTCTAGTTACAGTTGCGGTCAGGATCCATTTTATCTTGAGTACATAATTTATTTTTTGCCATTCTTTTTAAAAGGTAATACGTAAACGTATTAAATCAAATCTTCTGCAAAGCGTTACGAAAACAGACGTTCCTGTCCTGCTTCGTAGAAACGAGCCGTGCGCCAGCTTTTACTCTCCTGGCAGACGCCTGCAGGTGCCGCGCAGGGACCGCTGTCCTGGTCCGGCACCCGGGACGCTCGGGTGCCCGTCACCGCCTCAGGAGGCGGCACGGAGGCCTCTCCGCCTCCCACCCCTCCGCAGGGGCTTTGACCGCCGGGAGCGGTGCCACACGCGGGAAGGTACGCGGAGCCGAAGGGCCGGTGCTCCCAGAGCCAAGCTCTCGCACCCCTGCTCGGCGTCGACCGTCTTCTGTTCTGGAGGGTGCACCGTGGCGTCCCGTTCTCCCGTCGCCCGTGAGACCCAGCGCTTCTTCCACGTGCTGCGTGGTCACGGGGCCCAGCCGGAACTTGTGTCACCAGGGAGGAGGGCGGGGGCGGGGGGGACGGTGCTCTCTGCCACAGCTGGCGTCACATCTACACGTGTGCTCGAAAACAAGCAAACCTGTTTCCCTCGTGAGCGAGAGGAATTGGCTCGCTTCTGTGTGGCTGCAGATAGAGCTAGAATCGGTGTCTGAGACCGGGTGACTCCGCCGGGCTCTGCCTCGGTGCCTTCTGGCCTTGCCTGTCCCCTCCAGGTTTCAAGGAGACGTGAGCACACGCGGGGCAGCTTCCCTGGAGAGCCACCTCCCTTCCCTGCGCTCTGCTCGCAGCACTGCTGTCCTCTTTCTCCCGGGCCGCCTGGGCGGGGGCCAGGTGGTCACCGGGGAGCCCCTACCTCAGGTCCACCTCCAAGCAGAGCTGCTCCGCGCGACGCGCCTTCTGTTCTAAGCGCAGTTGGGTGGAAAGAGGCGCGAGGATCGTCCGCCTGCTGTGAGGTGGGCAGGGGGGTGGCTGGCAGTCCTCCGTAAGCCCCTCTCTCACCTCTGGTTTGGGGACACGGGCTTGTATTAAAGTGGGTGGCCGGGCAGCATACTGCTGCAATGGGGACACTTTTGAGAGTGAAAGGGCCTGCGGTTAGTAATTAATTACCACAAGATGCGGCGGTGAACTGGATGTCCTGGGCGGACGGGCCGTGGTCCCAGAGCAGCCATCCCCGAGGCCCCGAGGGTCACCAGGTGGTTGACAGATGAACTGTGAGTCGTAAAGGGTCCTGTTTGTCTCCTGTGCCACAGCCCGGGGTTGGGGGGGGGGGCGGGGCTCCCATGTGTCCCCTGTGCCGCAGCCCCGAGGTGCCTCCCGTGTGTCCCCTGTGCCACAGCCCAGGGGGGCCTCCCGTGTGTCCCCTGTGCCGCAGCCCGGGTCGGGGGGCTACCGGGGTAACAGAAGGTCTGCAGCTGGAGGCAGAACCTCTACGTACTTCAAGCATCATCTTTGAACCGTTTAGCTTATTTGTCCATGAGAAAGTGATCTACCTGCCTTGCTTGAGTCCCTTCCCTAGGGCTAGTTGGGGGAATAAAACGTGTTAATAAAATTTAAAAATATTTTGTAAGCTGTTAATTGTTCATTTTGCCCTCACTTCTTTCCTTGCCTATTTTTAAAGGGTCTTGAAAGGAGGTGCCTGTGGAACTTGGTCTCTTAAACCTGGCGCCCTCGATCCTGCCTAGGAAGGTGCCCCGGGGAGGCTGAGCCCGTCTGCCCGATGCTCCGGGATGTGGTCCGTGGCCTTGCCTGCCAGGCTCCTGCCCGCCCGGCGTGTGCCTGACCTACTGAGAGGTTCGCCATCCGTCACCGCATAAACGAGCTGCCCACGGTCGGCACGGTTGCAGCCCGTTAGCTCTTCCTTGCCAAGTGCAGGGGTCAGTTTAGCTTAGCCACTTTATAAATTTTTCAGAGATTTCAAGTTGGAAGTCGCAATTGGCTTTGACTTTTCTAAGCGATCCACTGTTATGATTAGTCATGTATACATATCACAGATGAGAAAATGAATGTTTAGTTAGTTAAAAGTACTTTTAAACAGCTGCTGAAGGACTAGAATTCTTTTGTAAATCGAGAAGCATGTGATCTCACACGGTCGCGGCTTAAAGTTTCCTTTTAATGAATGTTAGGATTAGTAGACATACCCCGCGTACCAGTCACATTAGCACCTAAACAGCAGGCGCTCGCTCACCACAGGCCCGAGGGCGGGGGGAGGCTCTCTGTTCCTCCCTTAAAAGGCCTGCAGCCCTGCAGCTGGAGCAGCAGTAGGAAGGCAGCGGAGTTGATCAGGCGTGTCGGGAGGACGCGGGGGCATTGCCGTGCCCGTGGCAGGCGTGGGAGATCCGCTGTGACGGCCTTTTCCAAGGAGCCCACTGCAACCCCAGGGCGTGTGTCAGGACGGTGCTGGGTTTGGTCCTGGAGGCGCCGGGGTGAGGCCATGGGGGCCGGGGGCCTCCTCACTCACTGGGAGAACTTTGCGAGCGCAAGGT